GGGGATTTTTTTGCTCCTCTGGTAGTTCCTTGATTAGCATCTAAAAAAGATAAGAGCTGACATGGCAACAGGACCATGGGACTCCAGCCTCTGAGATTTTCACCAAGCACAGATTTAGAAAAGGGGGAGGGGGGATTTACAGTGGCACATATTGATGCTTGTAAAATTATAAAAAGCTCTTGATAGTATCCTTTGCATAGAATAAAAACATCTTCATTACCTGATCCAGTGACAGTTGTATGTCCAAACCAAACAGCGAACTAATCATGCCAGATAGGTCAACTGAATCAACTCAATTGACTACTTACGATCCTAAGTCATTCTCAGGTCAGCAAAAGGCAAGCCTACCATTCTTTCTTTCTTTGAAGCAGATTCACCTACTCTTCAGTGGAATTGGCTAACATGTGGTCTATGAGAGAAGGAAAGATGCTGGATAGAGACTACGTCCTAAAAGACATCATGTGAAAGGTATACCAATGTCACAATTCGTGAAGTTAAGTCACCGCTAATTTCTTATTTGATTTCCAGCTTCATGGAGCCAATAATCAAGAGAAATTCACCACAGTTGTCTCATGCCTTTAGTTAACCAGAGATGTTTCCTTCTGAAATAGGCTGACCCGCCAAGGGAATGCCACAGCTATATGTTTGTATTACACGGAACAACTTATTTATCAGAAGTCCAAAATGACTGCTTTCTATTCCATTCTACTTTTGGAATGTTTTGCATTGACAAAAATTTGAGAAACTTACATTTTACATTTATCAGGAGAGGGAACCACACTGTCTTGCTTACATGCTTCAGTTGTAGACCAAGAAGAAGGTATACAAGGAAGAGCCCGTCACTGTTTCCACGTTGGTCTTACTTTGCTCTACTAATGCTATTTAAGAAAGAGGGAAATGTTGGTGAAAAAAGTCATTTCATCCACCCCACACAGAAAAAAAAATATTTCTTGGATCAAAGGATAAATAACTGAGCAGCAGCCAGTTATATTGTTACTGGAAGTGAAATCAGAGCCATGTTAAGTATTCATAAAACTGTTTGTTTTTTTTTTAAGTGGTGGAGGAACAGCAACCACACTGAGCAGTTTTCCTATCCATAGACATATACCCCATTGTAGTAAAGCAGTACTTTAAAAAAATGTATTTCATTTTATTTGCAATATAGTGAAGAGAATATAAAAGAACAGACATAGTAACCTTATTTAATTAAATGATCATGGAACCTAGAACCAAGTACAAAACAAGCATTACATCTCTGTTGTACCCAGATCATTAAGTTTAAATCAGGTAGGATAAAAATCATCTTCTGCATTATTATAATATGGATGTCTTGGGTGGGGCGGGGCATCGACAGTTCCATTACAGCAGTTTTCCGACTTATTTCCCGCAATATGGAAATATTCAAATGCTTTCCTGTTTTCCAGAATCTTGCCACTACCCATCTGGCTACAACCAACCAAAGAATACCATGCGCTCTAAGGCAGTGTTTGTCAACCTCAGTAACTTTAAGAAGTGTGGACTTCAACTCCCAGAATTCTGCAGTCAGAATTGCTGCTATAAGGCATCATTTGGGGTATCAAAAAATTATAAACATTTTCTCTTCAGGATTTTGGGGTCTAGGAATTGGCTGCACAACCACTACATATCTACTCCTCAGCAGCCCTCAAAAGACAATGGTTGCATGCATTATTATGAAAAGTATTGCCCTTTTTTGATATGTATTTTTTTCAAATGTATGCATTGTTAAGCCTCTTCTGAAAGGATTGTATTTCTTCTGAGATTAATAAATTGTAGGTGCTCCTTTAGAGCCTTCTGTGGCATAGAACCTGGATCTCTGAAGGACTGCCTATCTTCTTATGAACCTGTCTGGACAGACCTATCTAAAAATTCCCAAATTTGAGAAACCTACTTGTTGGGCAAAAGGGAAAGCCTCTTAACTGTTGCTCAAATCTGTCTTTGGAAACTACAACTGGTCTTTACTCTCTCTTTTCAAAAAGGGTATCATATAATGATGTTAATTTACCCTTTAGAAATACTAAAGGATATTTACTATCCTTTAAAAGGCTTTATTGCCTTATTACTATGTGATTTTTTAAATATATTTTTAAATATTTCTGCACATTGCCTTGTTAGAAAGGTGGTGTTATAATATTCTAAATAAATAATAAATACAATCATATTTGCCACAGCTAAATTGAGCTGAGCCTATTATTTTTAGAACTGCAATGTTAAACATATGCATAATGTATTTCTAATTTTAAATTTTTGCTACTGTTGTGAGAAGTTTTGAGCTTATCAGGTCACAATGGGTGACTATAACTTTCCATTTAATCACACATCTTAAACTGCTCTGGTGGGTTTGTTTACCTCTTAGCATGAATACTATACAGATGAGTAAGCTACTCCAGGGTAAAATAGCTTAGCAGAGGGTCAAATGTTCTTCTGCCTGGGCTCAAAGTGACTGATCTACAAGAAGAAGAGATTGAAAATACAGTAATGACATTCCATATTATCCAACACATTTGCTTCAGAATATATCAATATAAATGAATAAAGGGAACCCAAATATTAAAAACCATAAGGACAACACTAAGCCAACTTCTATCGAGGTTAATGTAGGCATGATTTTGTCTGGTGATGCAGGAAGACATGAGTGCACTGCTATGGCCTGAACTAACCCTCCAAATGGGGGTTAGTTCAGGCCACAGGGGGGCCTTCATATTAAAAGAATATGGGTAAATGTATGCCCAATCATATAACTGCTTTGAAGTCCATTTTAATATCATTTAAAATGGTAAAGAGAAAGATTTTCCCAAACTGAGCTTGACTGTAGGGATTATATGGACATTTCCATGTAATTTTCTCAGCTAAAATACGTACATGTTTTCTCACAACCTCCTGGGATTTTTTTTAAAACCTTCCAGGCCAAGTCTATAACACCAAGATTTCCCGTTGTGTACAATCCTGGTTCAACCATGTCTACTTAGCTTGATACAAGATGAACTTGTATCAGCTAAGTGCTATGAACTGCTGGGTTAAGAGGTATGTACTAATGGCTAATTCACACCAGTCTCTGGAAAGGGGAAAAAAAGCATTTGACTTCACAAATTAGCTATACCTATTTTTCATGCATTTCTGATGTGTCTCTGATACATACTTGCACTAATGGCAGTTGATGCAGATCAGCACATAGATAGATATATTTGAGTATTTGAGTATATTTAAAATACATCTAAATAACACCAGTAAAAATTAATCCTAGCCCTATAGCAGAACATATTATCAAATTTTGATGAAGTAGTAATTGAGCTATTCATCTGCTACCTTGATTCCCCATGGGCACATTTGCTAGGAGATTAATATAAAGGAAAATGTAGAGATTTACAGAGCCAATTACACCACAATAAGTTGGGGATGTGTCAGATAAGCGGTAGTAGCTAACCCACCTTGACTAACCAAGCTAAATGGGTGAAACCTCTTTAATAATTGGATGGGAGACCCTAGGAAATCGAATGGCTATAAAATAGACTAGGAAGTCAAAATGACAGCACAAAAGTGTCCATGGAGTCAAATGGAGTAGGAATCTTTAGTTTACTGTAAGTAGAAAGGGAGCTGGAAAGAAACCATTCTTTAGCAGTATCTATGTTTAATAAACCTCTGGGCGATATTAAGCTTGATTTTGCTTTTCTGATTTTGAACAGAATAGGCATACCTTTTGAGCAACTCCACTAGACCACAGAGAAACACTAAAAAACAAATGAAGCAATCACCACTTTGTTGGAATGTCCATCCCTGAAATAATTTTGAGACTATTTTTCCTCCTTGCTTTACATACTGCCCTTCTCGATATCACAGATAACCACAAATTCGCCATTGCACTATCACTGGTAAGGAACAGTGTGAAATAACTAGACTTAAGAAAGGCCATTCTGTTTTCCATCTTGGAAACTAAAACAAACAGCAAAATAAAATATCTGCAAAAATGCATATGGCTTTACAGCTAAGAATATCACACAGGCTTGCTTCCTGTTCCAATGTTATTCTTGAAGTGGGCTGCAGTCAGAATCTGATTTTCATCGAGCTATTATTATTTGCAGCTGTGCGACCTTCTTAACCCTGTTTCGAAAGTGACATTTCAGCCCTTAGTTTCAAACTGGCTGAATGTTGCCGAGTTTTCAACCTTGTGATTAACCCTAAAATAAAGGACAGGCTAATTGTTGCGCAGACCTCCACTGTAGGTCAGAGGATCAGTCTTACAACAATTTTTGCTATGTCTATTTATCTGTTCATTCATCCAACCATGGAGAAACATATGAAGTTTTAGTGGAATGTGATATCCAGATGGATTTGCAGGAAAGATATGTGACTATGAGTGGACAGAAGTTTCTATGGATTTTTCTGCACTGATTTTTCCTAGGAAGTCCACCTGACAGACACAGTTCATATTTGATTTAGAGCTGCTTCAAATATTACAGAGCAGGAAAGTATGTATTTCTGTACAACAGGGATGGGCAACGCAGTGCTTCTTGTAATTTTAGTTGTTGTCTCTTACAAGCTTTAATCGGCATAGCCAATGGACTGTGCAAGTCGTAGTCCAAAATATATGGAGGATAACAGATTATCTATTCATTATCTACATAATGTATCCTAGGAAAATTCTAAACAATTACTGCTTTGTTTGATTTTCATTTAGTGTGTTGCATGAAACCAGCCACCAAGGTTTGTAAGTCATCATTTATGGCAGAGGTGGGAAACCCCAGACTATGCTCTATGTTCACTTCTATCTTTGGAGCCATCAAACCCACTCCCAGGTCAAGCCACTGAAATTTTCAACTGTTAGCAGTTTGATTCCCCACTTCCTTTTATAAAACAGAGAAAATGCTGGCCTTCATGAATTTATTTTCTCTTGGTTCCTACCCCCCCCCCCCAATGCTCCAGTAAGCCCCTCCAAAATCAGATCCTCCCATTCTTGTAATGTTACCAGCATCCCCCTGTGGCTGTTTGAGGCGAAAAATCATAGAATCATAGAGTTAGAACGGACCATTTAAATCATTAATCAATGCAGGGGTCCCAGTTGAAGCCCCCCAGACAGATGGCTATCCAGCCTCTGCTTGAAGACATGCAGTGAAAGGAGGCCCATTCTTTCCCTGGTTGTACTTTTGAACTGCTTTTTCCTGTCAGGGATTTTTTTCCTAACATTCAGTTGGAATCTGCCTTCTTATAACACAAATCTATGTAATAAAGAGGCAACCTCTGGTCCAAAATAGTTATTTTCTTCTCATTTAGGCTTAGAGAATTTCAGAAACAAACTCAATTGCAATATCTTTCATTAACCATTGCTAAACAAACCAACATTTAGTGCAATATGGAAGGGAGGTGAAGGTTTCCACTCAGATGTACATCATGCATCACCACAGGTATTTATCCTCACTCTAGAGACAAGCAGTAGAACAACCCAATTTTCAGCTTTGAGAATTTAGCCAGCATTTCTCAGAAAGTTTCTTTTCTACAGAGAGGCCGAGAAACTGGGATCTCCTCTTATAAACACAGTAGTAGAGAACAAATTAGAGGAAGTACATGTTTGAGATAAAACCTGGGGTGGCTATCAGCCCAGTTTTCGCCAACTCAGCCAAGAATAATTTGTGAAGGCCTAATCCCAGTTCAGATCTAACAAATCTGAACAAATTATGTGACCATAAACCACCAGATCACACGCACGCACGCACGCGCACACACACAAGCAATGAGTTTCATCCAAACTCTCTTCATATTTAGCATCTGGGGCATCTCAACCAGAATGTGTTTTGTTTAAATAACAGATAAATGCTTTTGAGAAAAGGAACAATATAGAAAACACGAATCCTTGCCTTGAAGGTGAAAAGAAAGGGAATATGTTTAAGCTGAAAGCTCATGCCAGTTTGGAACGATAAAAACTATAACTCCTACACTTGCATCTTAATTTATATTGTCAATCAGATCTGCCCTGCCTGATATGTAAAGATGACCTACAGACATATATTGGAGTTGGGGGGAGCATTCTAATAAAATAAAGCTTGTCTGTCACTAAAATTAAGATGCATGTTCATTGTACTGTATCATATTCACCCTACACATACTGTATAGTATGCATGGGTAGCGTTCTAATATCTTTAATTTTAATTCTTTTTGCCTTCCAGGGTGTTAACTGACTACCTGTTTTGTGCCATTGCCTACAAAAATCCATGCCACAATAAACTCATTAATCTCTCAAGAACATTAAATGCTCCTTGAGAGTTCCTTCTCTCTTTGGGCCATTAATCCAAATTAATGGCAAATTTTCTAGAATTTCCCAAAGAAAGGCATAGTTCAAAATGGAGTAGACAAAGAGTTAATGGCAAATTTTGTTACCAGCTTCTCTCTGTCTGAGAAAATCCTCCCACCAATTTTCAGGATCATTGCAATGAAATGGAGTATGGTATTTTCCTTCTGTCCAGCTAAAGTGTTTGTTTTAAAAACAGCCAGCATCAAGATTTCCACATGTGGACAGAAGGATTCATTATTACACATGTGGCTGTTATAGTTAAGGGCCTGTCACCCATATTAAAATATTTCCAAATGGGTCTGGATGCTTGGGATAATTCCACATTTGGAATTCCCTAAGCAGGACTTAGCATGATCGAAAGCTGGAATTTAAATTCTCAATAGTGTTTTGGTGAAATTGAATATAATTATATGTATTTAGTGCCAATATACGGAAATGCAATCAAATTGGAGTGTATTAAAAGGGAGTGCCATCTAAAAATCTTTCTTATAAATGCATTTTTCCAAGAAAGACCTAATAAGTAAAATAACAACTACAAGCACAAGCAGTAAGGAACATATAAAGTACAGTGTAGGGGTGCAAATAGGTGCAAAGTCTGTCCCTGAAATTAACTGCTACTTTTAAGCACGCATCCTGCATTTTTTACTAGAGGATCTAGCCAGTGTTTCTCAACCTTGGGAACTTTAAGACATGTGGACTTCAACTCCCAGAATTCCCCA